CGAAAATATTGGTGTAGAGCTCTGCTCAGTTTCTGAATAGTCACCTGCTTGCGTGTAGCGGCTTCTCTTTGATGGATGATCGTGACTCACAGATGAGGTTTCCGGAGCGAATGAGCATGTCCTCAATTTTCTCATCTCTTTTCAGCAGATGTTCTAAATTTGCATGTTTGTATAACATCAATTCTTGTGAACTGGTGTCCCCAGAAATTGAGGGTGGGGAGAAAAGTGTTGATGGCTTGAGCAAAATGGGGAAATCCCAAACAAATAGCTTATTTTAAATGTAATTTTTAACAGTCTTGTTTTCTGAAGAACGTGGGAATTGATGGAGGTGAATCAAAGGATTCTCTGTAGTACCTGAACAAAATGCCTTTCACTTTTGGTCTCATCAGTTTGATACATTTCCCAGGCACAGACACTTTGTTTAAACACCTTGTTCTATCAGCAAGGAGTCCAGAGCCTGGTGCTAACACAGCTTTGCTGTGCTAGGGACAAAATGGGCTGCTGGATTTGATCTGGCTCTGTTCCTTGTGGGCTGGTACTAGATTACTGTGAATATGATTTCACTCTGTTTAGATGCTTAAGTAGGAGAAACTCTGAAAATCCAAGTTTCCTGCTTGGTGCTGGAGCTTACCTGTGTGTCTGTAGGCACTGCGTGGGCCCGGGTGGTCTGTGGTTAAGATGCTGAAGCATATTGCTCTGGCTCTAGACTGGTCCTTCCAGGAAACCTGGGCTGTCATCAGCAGAGCTCCACGGGTGCGGAGCTGTTTGTCAGTGCCACCCAGCACTGGGACTGTACCCTAGCACTGTCTGGCCTGGGCTGGTAGTACAGCAAACTGCAAACCTCTTGTGGCCTGCACAGCTAACTACCTGGCCTGCCCAAGGAAGGCTGGGACTGAAACAGCCTCTGCTTGCTGCTGCTGGAGGGCCAGGGCATGGTGGGGTGGTGGTGTGTGTCTTCTGTGCCTGGTCTTGCTTGGGCTTCACAGTCACCTGCTGCCTGACCTTCACAGCGCATAGCAAGGACAGGGCACCCTGGCCTCTGACGTGCTGGGGATCAGCTGCCTGGTTTTTGGAAGGTGTTTGGTTGCAGAGGGTGAAAAAGGGCCCACAGAGGAAAGGAGAAAGCTTTCCCCTGCTATGTTTGGCTGATGCTGCTCATCTCTGCAAGCTGGTGAGAAACAAGGTTCGAGATTGCTATCACATCTTTCTCTGTCCCTCGTTGAGTAGATGTCTTCTGCCCACGTACGTTGTTAGAAAACCATCGGTGATGTGCTGGTGTATCTGCCACTCTTCTGTTGCCCCTTGATGGGTTATCTTCATCCTTTAAGGGTTATTAAGGATTAGCTGTGAGTTTTGCTCCCTAGGAAGTGGAAGCTGTTGGGGAGTGGGGTTTGAGGGCAGGGAGTATTTGGGATATTGAGGAGTGGACAATCTGTGGGCACTAACTTGTGATCCTAAGTCTGGGAGAGTTGCAGTGGCAGAGAGTTCTCTTCCCAGCATGGGCTCAGCATGGCTGTGTATGCTGCAGGTATGTTGGCATGGTGGTTGCTAGTCCAGAGACACCTTAATCGGCTGAAAATCAGGGGAAATTATTAATAGTGTTCTGCATCTTTATCAATCTGTGTGCCCATGCCAGAATACTTTCATCTTGCTTTGTGTGCCCAGTGTACAGCACAATATGATTTTTCCTCTGGTGTCAGCTTGTAAATTCTTCATGGTAGCAACTAGCGCGTTGTTTCTGTAGCTGCTGCAGGACTGCTGCTGGATGCCAGGGCTGGACCTCCCAGCTGAAAGCTGCTTTGGCTGACCTGTTCTCGGGGCAGGAGAACTGAATTGGTTAACAAACCAGCAGAGCAAGGTTTGCTTTGCAGCAGTAACTCACAAGTATCTGTGCTCCTTTCCTGCCTGCAGAGAGAAGCTAATCCTTTTTTTTTCCCTTTTTTTTTTTTTTTTTTTTTTTTTTTTTTTTTTGTTGCCTAGACTGTAATGGGAAGTGGAGGGAGGAAAACAGCTGTGACTGCTGGGATGCTGGGGTACCACTGCAGTGAGGTGTGAAGGCACGGAGAAACGCTGGGAGTGAGACACCTGGGGGGTTCAATGCTGCACAGGAAGCTATGAAAGCAGGAGTCCAGACTCCCTTTCTTCTCCTGTCCCTCTGCCTCTGCTGAAATTTTTCACATGGAGACATCACCAGGCTGCCATCAAAAGTTGCTGCCGTCTTGTAGCACTGCAGACTGAGGGCTGCTCTGGCAGGTGGAAGACAAGCTTTGCTGTAGCCAGGTTCACTCTGGGTGTGATGGGTGCTCATTTAGAGGTGGGAGGTTGGGGAGATCTTGTGGCCCATTTCAAGCACCTGAGAGGAGGAGAACTGGTCCCAGTGAGTAAGATCCCTGGATGTGCTTCTGCATCCTGCTGCCTTTCTCAGCACAGTGCTCCGCTCTCCCTGAGCTCACTTAGTCCTTTACTTACCAAAGGTGTATTAGCAGGGATCATGGTGGAGGGGAAACAAGAGAAACAGGCTTCAGCTAGCTAGCAGGAGATACCCACCAGATGTGCTGCTGGGTTGCGTGGCCTGTCTGCAGACGCTTATCTGGGGTTCCTCTCCCAGAGTGCTGCGTTCTCAGAGCACCAGTCCAGGAGGTACCCTGTGGAACCAAAAAAAAAAGCAGCAGCATGCGGAAGAGGGGAGAGAGGGCTCCGAGCTGCTGGTGCTGCCCAGGCCTCGCCAAGCTAGCTCATCTCCTGTAAGTAACTCCCTGCTCCGGCCCGAGCAACTGGTGGGGAACTCCGCAGGTTGGGCGGTCTGGCCCCTGATGCATCTCCCAGGTAGTCTGAGGGCTCTGCTTTGGAAGAGCAGCTGACTCCTCTTCACACCCGTTGTATGTCTTACAACTCTGGGCCACACATAGCTCATGGGATGAAGAAGGCTGTGTGGAAGCCTTGAAGGGTTGTGTGCATGTCCATCTGTCCTGCTGGCTTTGCAGGATGGCAGATGGAAGGGATCTGTGTGCTTGGAGGGGCAGGAGAGTGCCAGAGCGCAGAGATGCCCATCCATGCCTCGCTCCATGGTGCAGCTGAGGACCTTCTGTCCCAGCCAAGCCCCCGCAGCTCTTGCTCGCAGCGCTCTGACTGCGAATGCTTCAACCTCCCGACCCGCACACAGGTGCGGAGTGGCTGCTGGGTTGGTCTGCGAGTAACCCTCCAAGGGTTAATGCATTGCGAGGAGGTTGCAAAGGGCTTGAAGCCTGGAATCCCCTCGATCCCTTGCCTGGAGAAACACAAAGTCCAATAAGCCAGCACCCCTGGATTCGTGTTGGGGGGGATTAATTCATGCACTTGATGTTAAAGCTTGTCCGAGAGGTTTGCACGGGGGGGCCATCGCTAGGGCTGGATGGCCTCTCTAAATGGTTGCTAGGGCCCTGGCATCAAGGGCCAGTGTAGCTGCCCACAGCCACGGTCACGGAGGGAATTACACAGCCACAAAGAAATTGTTATTCTACATAATCTGCTCTTTGGAGAGTGACTGTGGGGAAACAGGCTGGCCTCAGCATGCCGCCAGCTCTGTGATCATAGAAGCGTGCTGGCTGCAAAGATCAGCCAGGGCTCGCCTTCTGATCTGGGGACACCAGGGCTCGAGGCGCTAATCTGCTTTATCAGCGATTTCTCTCTCCTGACACAAAGGTGTTTACTTGTTTTAACATCTCCTGGGACTCTATTTCTCCTTTTGTGTGGTCTTTATCCCCTGACGAGGGCTTTAGCCCAGATTACAGACAGAATTAAGGCATTTGGCGATGTGCCTCAGAACTGTGTGATGCTGGATCAAGGAGCAGAAAGTAACAAAATAATGGGGGTTGATGCTGGGAGTGACCCCACTGCGGGATCCGTGCTGTCGGCTTTCAGGACCGCTTCATTGTCCTGAGAACCAAGAGCCTGTTGGAGAGGGGTGGCCATGCGGCAGGGCTTTAAAAGCAGGTGCTTCAAGGTTTATTGTGTCCAGCGTTTTTGATTTAGAGGGTGTGAGGTGGAGGAGGAAGAAAAGGAGGGTTTGCAATAGGTGGCCGTTTTGAGCAGCTGGGCAGATTGTCCCCTCCGTTCCCAGGAGTTTGCCGTGGCTAGGTGTTGCTGGTGGCTGGGGCAGGTGGAGTGATGCTGGGGATGGGCTGTGCCCTGTGCCTGGGGCGGGCTGTGATTTTATATAGCCCAGGGAAGGGACGCAAGCGCCTTCTGGCAGCCTGGCAGGGTGGACCCTCACCAGGCACCACCCACCTGGTGAGCTGTGGGTTTTGCATGGGAACAAGGAGCAGAGCGATACTGCCATAAAGCATCTGGCTTGGAGCTTCATGGAGTTCTTGCTTTTGCCCTTTCACAGCAAAGAAGGAATTAAAAAGGGGGAAAAAGAGAGTTAGCCTTTGGAAAGTCATCTCCAGAGCAGGCCTGGGGTGACTGCTCTTGACCTGTCATGTTCAGCCCCAGATCCACTTTTTGGAGATGCAGTGTGACTGGAGGGAGTAGCCATGGCAGCCTGAGTCAGGAGGGTCTGATTTGCCTGTGGATCTGAGCTGTGTCTCAGAGATGTGGGGAAATACCCCCGTATTTTGAAGGATAGAATATGGGGTGGGGTTGATCGGGTAAGCGGCTATTGCAAACTATTTGGAGTTTGACTAAGTTGAGAACCATCGCCCATGGAAATGGAGCCCCGTCATACGGAGTACTGTTCGCTTCTCCCAAGAAAAATGATCCCATTCTGCTGGAGGTGAGCTGTGCCTGTTTCGTAGTTCTTCCTCTTACAGCTGAGGTTCCTACCGGTCACCCTCCATGACAGTGACCCAACCAGTAGCAGAAGCTGGGGGAGGGAGAAGACAACTGTGCAGGCTTTTGCATTCTGTAAAATGACAGAAATGAGACCTAGGAGACTTCTGTGACACCATCTCTGCTCTGGCCTGCTGAATTGAAAGGGTGCTCTGCTCTGAATGACTCTTCCTTGTTGTGTTTCTTTGCAGTGGTCAGCTCTTGACCTGTTTAGGGACTGACTTCCACCATGGAGCTGGAGTCCTTGATATCTTCTACGAAACGCCCTCCCTTCTCCTTTCCTGTGGGTATGACACCTACATCCGCTACTGGGACATACGCACCACCCCGGCGGAACTGGGGCCGGCATGAGGCTTCTGGGCTCTCCCTGCGCAGTGTCTGGAGACTCGCCTGCAGCTGCAGTAGCTCCTTCAGGCAAATCGGGCCTTGGCTCCAGTGGTGCAGCAGCAGAAGCTCAGCTCCGCTCCGGTTTGTGCTGCCCTTGCAGGAAGTGCGTCCAGGAGTGGGAAGAGCCCCATGACAGCGCCCTGTACTGCATCAGGAGTGATAAGAACCACATGATTGCCAGTGGCTCTTCCTACTACGGCGTGGTGCGCCTCTGGGATAAGCGGCAGACTCGGTGCCTGCAGGTGAGGGCCAGGTGCCCGTGTCTCTTTGGGAGAAGAGACATGCTGGGGTG